CGAATAAGAATCTGGACTAAACCTGTGAGGATAGTCCTGTGGGCAATTTTGTAGCCAGTGAAAAATGCTACAAGATAGGGTGGTTCAGACTTCTTCGTATTGCATCTTGGCCGTCCCTGGGACTAAAATTCCTGAAGAAGACCGAAAAAAGTGAAAAAACGTATAGAGTTGGAATTTCTAGGCCTCACCGAACTTTTGGCCAGAAGAACTGATACCTGTTCTACCCAGTTTTGTGGCGCGTGAAAAATGTTACAAGATAGACCTGGTCGGACCTTGTTTCAATCAGGTATTGCACAGTTATAATAATCGAAAGAGGGTATGCCTCACGTAGAACTATGGGTTTTTCAGCAGGTTAGTTCTCTGGAAAGGGTTGAGTTAGTAGGGTCGAATTTAGCACCCCTCGGTTCGTCGAAGTTTTTCACATAGGGTGACACTCATCGAATAAGAATCTGGACTAAACCTGTGAAAATCCAGCCGTGGGCCGCTACAAGCGGCTTATCTCTCCGTGTTCTTTTCTGTGTTAATTCCTCGACTGATCTATATAACTTTCAATCATAATCGAATTCCTTTTGACTACTATATCTATGTCTATCTTATTTATGAAGTCTAGTAAGACCTACCGGGTGCTACCATACTCCACTAGGGTCTACCAGGGTCTACTAGGGTGTATCAGTTGGATGTGTGTTTCGTGGCACCCTCACCTCGAGAGATGTGATGTGTTTGTGTTTCGCGGCACCTCACTAAGTCAGATGAGAATAGACACTTGTAGACCCTGTTGATAATAGTGATAATATGATGCGAGATAAATTATTATAAAATTCATTGTTTTTGAATTACTTTGTAAATCATTTCCGTCATCCAGTGCAGATATCTTAAGACGTCCTTTCCTCTCGGAAAACGATTTCAGGATCAAGTACATTCAAATTGCGTAAAATCTTTCGCTCTATACTATGATGGTTGACGGAGATATGTACCAAAGAAGGATAAAAAATAGCACATTTAACAACCCAGTTTTCTGTCTTTGGGCTCGTTCGATATATTTCTTTAGTTTGAAAGAGCGTCGCAGTATGTGGGGCATGACCGAGCCTTTTTAAAAATATCTAGTTTTGAAGTGCAAAAAAGTCTAATGAGTTAATGATTGGTAAAACCTGGCAAAATAGGTGCCAATTTACGTAAGTGGCTGTATATATAATAAAAATTAAGCATCTCAGAGAAACGCCTCGTCAAGCCCTGCATCTTGACGTTCTCTTTCAAACAAAACAGATAAATATATTGAATGAACCGCGACAGAAAAATTTGGATTGTGTGCTTCGAAAAGCATAAACTAAGAAAAAAACGAAAGATATTTTTTGTTTTCGAAATAAGCATTTATTTCAATAAGGCGTTAATAGAAATAATCTCAAACTTTGCTTTAAAAGGATTATCCATTCAAAACTCATATTGTGTCTGAAAGAGCAGGACTTGGGCTGTCTTCACGTGCATTTATCTCAATTTTCGACTTTTTGGACGAAAAATGAGTTTTTTTTTTGTAGAAGCCTAAAGTCAATTGCACATTGTAGCCATTCTGGGATCTATACCGACAATGCGATTATAGCAGTCCGACATGAATGCAACAATGAGCAAATCATGTCACCGCTAATATGTAGACACTGGCATGTAGATAAAGGCAACTCATCATAATATTATTCATGAATACGATATAGTTCTCTATCAGATGTAGACATTCATTCCACCCATTCGAATATTTCTGCCGAATTTTTAATGATGCGATATAACTATAGTTCCAACAGCTGTCTCCTTGCGGTTCTGGAACCAAATTATAATAACGCTAAAGATAGGAAAGGTCGGATAACCATAAACTAAGGATTTTTAGTCACTAGGAGTAATGACTTGATGATTCGTGCCTTGGAGCAATTAGCATTATTCGCTGAAACTATACCCAGCTGCAAACTACGCAGATTGAAGTGGAACTTCCAGCAATCAATATTTAGTGAATATTTTTGAAATCAAATGAAAATTATGGTAGAACTTATCAGGTTCCTATGCATACGAAGAATGATTATAAAGACTCGAACACTAGATGCATAGGAACTTATATTTAGCATATCTGGAATGAAAAGCCCACATTAGAGTAAAGATTATTTAACCTAGTAACAGAACACTTGATGGCAATCATAGAAGAGGAACTGTGGTAGAATATCGTGGACCTGTTCCGATGACTAATGATATCAATAAATTAAGTACCTAATATTGACATATCCAGGATATTTTTTATATCAAGCAAGTTCTTAGCAAAGCAGAATCGGGCAACAGTGCACAACCTGCATGAAAGTTTGGGATGTAACTAAGGATTGACCTGTTAACGGCCAAAATATGCGTCGGAAATTCAATAGATAAAATTCGTGTTCCGTTTCCACGGTTTCATACCATCACGAAAATATATAATTCAATGATTCAACCCTTGTCATCATTAAAAAGATTCTTATTTATGTCAAAAGAACTTCTCAGTGCAACTCCGTTGGGACTAAAACGTGGAACTCTCAAACTATTTGGGCTATGGATAAATGAAGGATTTAAGTTTAATCTACGAGAAAAATATCTTATTTTCGTTTCGCCAGTTATAATCAGGTCGTATTAAAATGTCGACCTGTCTGTAATAGGACTTTGTCTGTAAAGCGGGAGCACCGAAACTTCATGTTAAAATTTACACTCACATTTTGAGATGTGAGTTCTTCACAATTTCCTCGATACGGAAAGACTTCCAAGCTGGTAACATCAATAGAAAAGGTATTGCATCGCCGAATACAAACATTCTAACTGTTGGACAAAAAATATCTTCAATAGTTGAATGAAAAAATTAGTGCTGGCGCGGCCAGGGGGCATCGGGAGCGTGGCACGCCAAAAACTTCAATGACTTCTTTGTTTTGCTCAACAAAATCGGAAAACTTTCTTCCATTTCACACCAAAAATTATGTGGCACCACCGAAAAAATCGCACATGTCGGCTTTTTAATGAAACAATGTCGCTATACCCCACCGAATGTGGGTTAACTCGCGCCACCACAGAAAAGAACAGTCATTGTTTTCCCCTCTCTTCATACAACAACTTAAGCTTTGAATTTTGTTCATCTATCAGACGAATTAAACAATGTTTAACGTGAATCATCCGTTCCAGAAGGAATGTATTATAACATTTAATGACACGAACTTGAGATATCTAATGAATTAATTATTAACCCTTTACAGCCGGATATTCGAACAATGCCGTGCCTCGTACAAGAAAATGTGTCCTTTCGGAGACATCTGGCCGTAAAGGGTTAAACAAAAGTATCTCTTTCTGTAAGAATTCTTTATATTCCACGCATGAATAGCTTTTTATTCCTATAGAGAAGAACATTTCCCTACAAGTAGACCATCATGATACTGAGCATCATTCCAATGCCAATGAAACAAGTTAATATCGATAACGAATTACAGAAAACTCGATCTATACATCAGTAAAGAAAATAGCCATTGTTCTGTTCACGCTCCAAGCATAATTTTGAGATCAAACTACACCCTTGAAACATTCGTTTGTAAATACTTTCTTAGCTGTCTCATAGCATTTCTTGATCTTACGAAAAAAAATTCCAACCTTTCCGATTTTTATCAAGAGCGAATCTGCGTAAATTCTTTTTCTCGTAGAGAAGAATCCAGTAGCCATAAATTGTTTTTTTGCTTACTTGTGTGTCTGCACTTCACTGATTGGTCGCCTGACTACGCGAAGGGACTGGGAATCTTCTTTTACTAAAACTTGATCAGAGGGTAATTGGGGGCGGGGAGTTCAAATCTGAAGTCACTTTCACGATATTTGATCAATTAATAATCAGTTAATAATTAATATTAATAATTTTTGAGAACGTTTTACCAAGGGATAGTTGAAAATGGGGCGTCCGAATTTGTGATTAAATTTCACCAGATCATAACTAAAAATTAGTTAACTGATTATCAATTATTAGTAATTAGTATGAAACTTGACCAAACGTAATCGAATGTATGCCGTTCGCGTTTCATTTTATTTTTGGAAAATTCTGTTTCTATAGAGAAGAGTCTAACGCCCATACGTTTTTAGTTCTCTTGTTCGTTTGCCCGCACTTCACTGATTGGTCGAAAAAACATTCACATCGAAGGACTTGTGGAGGTCAAGAAACATTCATATAGAGTGACTTCCGGAGTCGAAAGAACAGCCTCTTAGGGTGTGGATCTGAGATACAGCCGAAGACTCACACACCCACACTCCCGTCCACAATCTGCCCCACCCTGTACAATTTCTAATATCACGAAGCATATACTTGGTTGATCACTCGGTAACACAGAGTCTACGAGAGAGCTGAGCAAGTCATCAGACGAGTGTTACTTGTTGCTACTCGCAGCCGCGCAACACCATTTAACTTCAATTCACATGAAAAAAGCACTTATTTTCGCAATGTGTTTTACTCATAAACTAAACAAAGACACTCCTGCATTTAATGACTATTCTCATTCTCACCCAACTACTAATGTTGATTTCCATCAGCTACTCTCTAAAATACCAAACATTGACCAATCTTAATCAGGCGAGAAAATCATGCCTATCTTCTCAAGCGCTAATCGACATTTCTTTCGCTATACTGTATTCAGAGCTGCTTCATAACCATTTTAGCGTTCCCACTATAATGCAGCATCTCCTTATTCGCCATACATAACTTCCAGACCACTCTCTTTCGTCACACCTCAAACAACCGCAAACGACGATACAAGCCCGAATCAACCACTAGCGTTCCTAATCGACTGTCAAAGTCACACCTACCGTTCTTTATGCGTATTGGAGATTCTTCTTCAAACACTCTTTCCGCACCTCCTTCATAATCATCTTCGAATCTGCGGGCTGTGGGAGCGACTTCGCCTTCATAATCGATCCATTCCGAACGTTCGTCTTCCATCACCCGTTCTACAATCATGACGTGAAAACAAGAGAAAGTCATCGCTCGGCTGATATAGTCAAATGTGAACATAATACTGACCCTTCTTCGCTGCTGTTGGCTCCTCAGTTCGATGCCTTCTCTCGGGTCCTCCTTCATGACGAGCAGTGAGTTCCGCAGAACTGTCTCTTGAACCGGCTGCTGCAATTATTAAATGGAAAGAACCGGAGTCGGTTGTTTGTGTCTTCTGTCCAAGTGTATAAGTTATAGGTTTGTAGACACTGAAAGGTTCAGGAAAATGTGCTGAACCTTTCAGAATCAAATAGGGACTATGAGCTTTGAATCGTCATTAAGATTTTGAGTAAACGGGCTTCATTTTGGAAAATTATGGTTTTGATAATAGGAAAATTTGTGAAATGCTATAGGTGTGGTCGCCAAAACACATTTTATTTTAGGATTTGAAAAAAATGGATTGAAGTGTTTTCAAGAGAGAAAAGTCGGTAAGCAAAGATAGTTTCTGCGTTGTTTTAGGGTCCCCACCCTACTTTCCATTTTAGCTTCTGATCATTCGATCTCGCGGTAATTTTCAGAGGAACTGTATCGCATAGCTGGTATCTCACGATTAAAATTTCGGTTGAGAATATTGAGTGTACTTGATTTTATCTGAAGGTTACCGGTCAATATGGAAGGGTCCGGGTTTCCAAAATCCCACTACCGTCTCAAAGCTAGCAAGTTCGGGTTGGTTTTAAAATATACCACAGACCTAGCACTACAATCTAACAGAGCCCGAATTTTAATTTTCCTATTTGATTTTTGTTTTTTGTTGCAGTTTATTTTATAGTGTATGGTAATCATAGGGTATGTCCTGTGATACATTTGAATGTCATAAGACATCAAACATAAAATTTAAAGGTTCGAGTCTGTTTAAGCTGTAGAGGTTATCAATATCTTCATTTTGAAACAGATCCTAGGTTTATAGCGTTTAAAATGGCGACGAGGTTTGGGAAATACGAAAGTGTTCAAAAAAGTGCATTGAGAAAAACGTGACAAAAGTTGGAGAAGTCCAGATTAGAGGATTTCCGAAAAACGTCTGTTTCGTCGTGAAAACTCGTCATAAAATCAATAAACTATGGTGCGTTCGATAGCGGAGACTGTGCTCTATCTAATGCATTAGAGATAAAAATCGAAAAATTTGATGAAAATTGACATTTTAAGGTGAGGGACTTAACGCTAGCGAATGTTTCACAATCGTGGATCCTTTTCGGATATATAAACGCTTATTTTCGAAATTTTGCATGGTTGATTACCGTTGTTTAGTGGCAATCGCTGTTTTGTCCCATACACTTTTTGAAAAGGTGTTTTGCAAGCACCTGCAATTCCGTCGTGTGATGCAGAGTCTAAGTCTTTTTTCATCGAGGACTGGCGCTCCTGCTGTCTGGATTAGCTTTTGGTGAATACGCTCCCTTCTTGTGGTGCGTATTTTAGGAGCAGTATGTGTCTGAGTAATTTCACTAAGGATGAAGTGGGCGTTGAAATTCAGAACAGGTTCAAGAAGTGTTTCTACAATATGTAGATTGTAACAACAAAGGTGTATGTAATTACAGGTTTGAAGTAAAATGTATTCATTGATTTTCGCTATGTTTCAAACGGTTTTTTCAAACTTACGTTCTCGAAAAGTCGTTTTAGAGGAATAATTGTTAGCAGGTGTATCGTTAGATGATAGATGACGGACAGATAATGGTCTTCTGTTGATCGGTACTTGATAATCGTTTGAAGTTGCAACTGACTGATGTTCATGAACTTGTTTTGCTCGAAAACATTCACGGCATTTATTTGCATTCCATTCTTGAGCAACGAATTTCGAACAACCAGTCTTCTTCGACTTCTCCATTGGATTTCTTAATCTGTGATTAATATTCTTTATCTTAAAGAATATAACAATAAAATATTAATATTTGTCGAGATTTTCAAGAAGAAGTCAGGAGAAAGATGGAAAACGTTTCAGTTCCAGTAACAGCGTAAGACAAGATCGTATATGATAACCAGCAGCTATTAATAAAGAAAATAGGCGGGATTAGAAATCAGATGTAACTCCAGAAGACTGTTGTATAGAGAGTTTAGTGTATGGTATCGATTGAGTAAAAAAACATTATCATGATTTTTTGAAAAGAATGGGGGCGCATAAGAACCTGAATCGGCCCATCAGATATTTTTCCATCAGACATCCCTCAAAATCACTCACGAGGGAACCGCCCGAGATGATACTCTCCGTTTTTCTTCGTTCATACCACAGTTGATAGAGGGCATCGAGCTGACAAAAAGCCTAAATGAGTTTCTGCGGAGGGCTCTTGAAGACCCGATTTTCTGGAAAACCAGTTTTTCAGAAACTCTAAAACTAACTGAAACCTCTTCTTAATGAGTTGTAATTGTAGCCCAGAAATGTCTGATTAAAATGAGACGTCTCCCAGCTCTACACCGCCTTTCTTTGCATAGTTATAGAATTTACAAGAAAAGCCTTGAATGTTCATTGTCAGCTCAAAGCTACAGAAGCAAGATAAACTAAATTTAGGGCTTTTCTTGTAAATTCTATAACCATGCAAAGAAAGGTGGTGTAGAGCTGGGA